TTGTGCTTTAATTGCATTCATTATTATTATTTGAAGAAAACAATCGTTTCCACGTTCGAGAATATTTCTTGTAGACTTGTTGCCAAGCAACCAAACAATCAAAAGCTGGAATCCAACAGAAGAATTAATTAGAGAGAGAGAGAGAGAGAGAGAGAGGGAGAGAGAGAGAGAGAGCTCGTCGACCTCTTAAGTGGTATTTAAGCCAGCTTTCTAGTTATTAAGATGATAGCTAAACATTTCATGAATAAACAGCAGGGCTTGGCGTTTCACTGTTTAGCAAAAAGGCTAGACTGTCTAGTCAACATTTGACAATAACTATTTTAGATTTAGAATTAATTTCGGTGTTTTCTATTAGACTGTCGTCCAGTTTAATGGCACCAGTAAACTGTTTTATGGGCGAGCTCCAAAACTGACAAATGAAAACATTTTCTGCCTTGTGGTTATTAAAATATTTTGCTTTTGCTCTGATCTATGTGCGAGTATGCTGTATGTATGGGTTTGTGTGTGTGTGGGTGTGTGTGTCTGTGCGTCTGTTTGCCTGCGAATGACATTTACAGGCAAAGTTACAAGCAGCGCCCACCCACCCACTCAAGCTCACACACTCCGACGCACACTCACACACTCGCACACTCGCACACATCGATGGGCGCCGTTTTTATGCCTGCGCTTTGCAAGTTTTGTTGGCAACGTTCGTTGGCCAAGTGGGTGACTTTTTGGGCTTGCTTGGCCAATTTGTTGTTGTTGCTGCAGCTGTTATTGTTGTTGTTGTTGTCGTAGTCGTTGTTTCTGTTGGCATGCTGCTGTTTGTTTGCTTTAAAGTGCAGCCTATTTACCTGACCAGCAAACCAGCAAACCAGCAAGCCAGCAATGTAGCATGTACATATGTAAGTATGTTGGGTGTTGGTGTGTGTGTGTGTCTGTGTTTGTGTGCGTAGGCCCGCATACTTATATATGACGCAATGCATGCCCTTACCCTACACACACACACACACACACACACACACAGTCCACCCCAACTTCGAGCCCGACCGATGGAATGGCAGCGTCCTGTTTGTTTAGTCGCCATCGCCTTCTCATTTGATCAGGAGGACTGTGTGTGCTGCACTTGTATGTACTTGTGTATATGTTTATGTATGTGTGCGTGTTTGTCCTGATTTTAATCAACGCATTTAACGTGCGCATTTGTTTGTCATTTACAGTTATTGCGCGTGCACACACACACACACACACACGTGGTCCGTATTGACTAAAATAAATGGAAGAAGTTCTATGGCCGGTGTTTTTTGTTCTCCCTTTTTTCCGCCACATATTCGATTTTTATTTTAGTTTTATTACTTAATTTTTAAGCGGTTGCCTGCACACGCCGGCAAATTGCATTAAAATAACATGTTTTTAATTAAAACAAAATAGAATTATAAAGCAAACAATTTGTGCCGTTCCCTAATAGAGCAGTTTAAGCAATTTAATTATATTTAATTTAAAATTGTGCGAGCTGTTCGCTTGCGGTAATAACAAATGACAACAATTGGTTTATGAACTTAATAAAATTGTATTGAAAAAAAAAAAAAAAAAAATGGGAACGCTGTATTTGCCATCTCTAATTATATTTTGAAATATGTGAGTGCATTTAAATGCTATGTAAAAACAATAATTGACTTTTTTTCTACAAACACATGCACATTCCCAACTGTCCTGGGAAATACATTTATATTGGATAACCACACCAATCAGAATGTTAGCATGTTCGGTATTGGACCAGTTAGGTCATATATCAACGAACACTTCAAACCATAAAAAAAGGGACTTAAAACTTAAGAACTTCAGTCTGCTCTCGGGCAATTGTTGAAGTGAAGTTGAACATGCTTATATTATTACTGAGCATTGCACCTAGATTTAAATTTACCCTGGTAAGCATAGTAGTAGAAGTTGAATGACACTGTAAAAAAGAAAACCTAATAAAATATAATTGCGAATAAAATCCATACTCTTACTTTTGCTCGAACAACTATTATTATTTACAGCATAATGTTTGCATTTTGTTTTGTTTAAAAATACCCTTAAATAGAGCTGTTTTTAAATTTCTTTCGAACGTTGCTTCCAACTTTTTGTACACAAAAAGCTTAAAGCGAAAATTCGACCATTTTCAAAATAAAATATGCAAAAGTTGAAATCATTGAAGCAAAACAAACAAACAAACATACTAGAAGCTGTGCAGCCCAGGAATCGAGGGGTGATCATGGGTTACAATTGTTATCCATATATTAAAATTAAATTATTTGTATATGGCTTGCTAGCTAGACATCCTTGTTTTCGAGCACACTTTATGGCTTTGAGCAACTAAATTCAAATGAAACTAAGGACACTTTATTAAAGAAGGCCGACAATAGACAACAATCGCAGTGGTGAGCAGAAGTTGTTGCCCATGCATATTTAAAGTATCCCCCCTCCCCCCACCCCCACAGAACTGACTCATCAGGCCACCAACGATAGCCTTGGGACAACTTCACGCCTAGTTTTTGATGCGCACTTCGTTATTTGTCCTCTACATAAGAATATTTATGTATAAACATAAGTACAAGTACATATGTACAAGTATATACATACACTATGGACATACTGGTATATGCATGTGCATCGTAAGTTTGCATAAATATATATAGTATGTATGTATGTAAGGATGAGAGTGAGGATGGTCTTTGTTTTAATTTGGATTGAATTTAATTAAGGTAAGCTGAACAAACGGGGCACGCGTTTTGCGCGCGATAAAAATCGCGCTCGAACGTGACAAACGCGATGTCGTCAACGCAACCATCAGCAGCATCAACGTTCAAGTTGAAAGCAAACAAAAGTCGAGTCGCGTTGAGTCTTGACACCCTCCACTGCAAATGCAGGGGCATATTTGTTTGGAAGTAAGCTTGTAGAAGGAAACCGCTTGCCATAAGTGCTCGTATTGTCGAATTAATTAAATATTTCATTTTTAAAGAGTAATACTTGAGTGGTAAATAATTCAAATAATAGAAGAATAATCAATAAATCAAAATAAATCAATCAATCAATAAACTCAAAAATAGGATAACAGTGTTGAAACTTTTTTAGAACGTGCCAGAAATAAAATAAGCACAAATAAATAAATAAACGATTGAAAATAAAACGGGAGGCTCGCCATTCATCTTTTTACTTATTACTATACATATACATATTCCTCTATAATTTTATTTTGTGTTGAAACTCTTGCGAATCAGCTACAAATTTAGCAATTTTTTAGAAGGAATTGCTATTCAAGCAGTTTTGCCTTGTTTTTAAAAAACCGCATATTGTGATTGAAAAATAAAAAAAAGAATAGGATGATTTGGAATTTTGGCTCAGACATTGAAGGATATATGTACATACATATATTCAACAGAGTTAAACATTATATAATATTTTGAAAAGATTGAAACAAAGATGTAGCATTAATGTAAATCTTTTTGTTCATATTTATAACTGAAGCAGTTTTTATTACTTCTAGAGCCGATTCGCACATAGAAAGGGTTTCAATTGCACAATTTCTTGTTGCGAAGGGTGTGTCGATTCGACACAGTCGAAGCTATATTTTTAGATCTTTGCTGTTTGACATTGTGCGTGCGCCGGCAAAGGAGCTGGAGGAGCGTGTGGGTAGGTTGGTGGCTGGCGGGCTGGCTGGCTGGCTGGCTGCCTTGTTGGTTGGTTGGTTTTTGTCAAGTGTAGGCAGATAGAGAGCGCAGGCAATGGCTGGCTTGTTTGTCTTTGTGCTGATGCAGCAGCCAACTTGGCCAGCTGGCTGTCAGAGCCTGCACCCACTTTCCACTCTCCACTTTCTCTCCCACTTACACTTTACAAGCCACCATGCCTCCATGTCGCCATGCTTGTCTGCTTTGATCTTTATCTGGTTGGAGCTGGTCTGGCGTTGCCCCTAACTGTGCGTTTCTTGACTTGAAGTTTTGTGTGTTTAAAGGCGCCCGTCCAGTTCAACATGAGCGTCGTCTGCCAGTCAGTTGGTCTGTTAGGGAGTAGCTTATGCGAATATACTTGTATCTACTGATTTGGGGGCCGCACAACGTCTTCAACCTCCCCCCAATGCTGGCTGTGCTGGCGCATTTCATTGCAGATTTATTCATAAGCGTGCCAGCAAATTACGAGCTTCTGTTGCTTCTCACTCACGGCTCCCGGACTCCGGGACGCATCAAATATGTATGTACGTGTGTGTACTCGTATGTGGAAGACCAGCACCGGCCACACGCCACGGACTTGCCACTTGCCAAGCTTCATCTTCCTGGTGCATGTCCAGGCTAGAAAATTGAGTTTTTGGCTTTTCTTTTTTCCAATTTTTGTTGCTACACTTGTTGTTGTTGTTGTTGTTGCTACTGTTTTGCACGCGTGTTCCTTTATTGTTGCCTTTTGCAATTTGCACTCAATTGCAATTTCCGTGCGGAATTGTGGCGGGCAGCCAATGCCGACCGACAATAATGGGGTGGACTGGAGTGGAGTGGAGTGGAGTAGAATAGAGTAGAGTGCAGTTGAGTGCGACGTGAGCAGCCCACGCTGGCGTGGATGAGCGTCGGTGGAGGACGGGAGAGGGGGCCTATCCGGGGGCGTTCCACTGGCGGCACGTGCAGCGAGCGGCATCAAATGAATACGCGCAGAAATTTGTTTTCGCATTTTGTTAGTTGCCGTAGTTCTTTGCTTTTTTCCACAATATCAATATAAAACGTGACAGCAGAAATTGTAGCCAACATTTCTGTTGTTGCCACCGTTGTTGTTGCTCTTGTTGTTGTTGTTTTTGTTGCAGGTATTAAAGTGCCGTCATGCCATGCGTGCGTCCATGCGGAATGTGAATGCATGAAAGGCACCTAGCTTCCTGAGTTGGTCCAAAAGTAAGGACACATTATGCCATAAGCGGCTTATAAAATGAAGCAAAGGAGGCAGGCAAGACGCTTGTGTTGCCAGTGTTGCCATCTTCTTGCAAAACTTCTGAAACTTCTTGAGAAAACATACAGCTGTTTCGAGCAAAGAACACTCAGTCACCTTTGATTGGGCAATCGTTCGGTGAGTGTGCTTGTGTTTGCAAACGATTCTCAGTCATAAAAAAATTGTACACTTCATTTTCAATAAGAGCATAATCTAAACTGAAACTGACACTGAGTCGACAAATTTCCAAGAACCACATCGAAAACCCTACCACCATGTCGAGTCTACCCCCAGGCGACCACGATTCGAGTGACGATGCCAGTCTGCTCAAGCAATTGAAAGTGAAGCACCAGATCAAGCAGGAGGCCGCTCTGGCCAATGTCCAGGACATGCTCAACAAGATGACGCAAAAGTGCTTCCAGAAGTGCATCAATCATCCCGCCGAATCCCTAGCCGGCTATGAGCAGAAGTGCATTGCCATGTGCGTGGACCGCTATATGGAATCCTATAGACTGGTCGCCCGCACCTATGGCGAGCGATTGCAGCGCGAGCACAGCAAACTCAGCGATGAAGAAATTGACGAATTGGGCAGGCAGTCCGGCACAATGTAAATGTGCCGTCGATCCTTCGCTCTCTCTCTTTCCAGCTTCATCACATCATACATACTCTGTCATTATTATACGCTTTCAAATTTATTGTTCCCATTTTGGAGTTTCTATTTTCTAAAAAACAAAAAAACAAATACCTAATAAAAATTCCCGCCAACATTCTCTTGTTCACAAAATTGCCACACGACCAGTTGCACTCAAACAGGAATAAAATGGATCCAGAGGAGAGGCGGCAGCAACAACAAATGCTGCAGCAGATGAAACAACAAATCGCTATCGCCAATGCCCAGGAGCTGCTTTACAATATGAGCACCAAGTGTTTTCAGAAGTGCGTGACACGGCCGCGTGAGTCTCTGGACGCGCAGGAGAAGAAGTGCATTGGCATGTGTATGGATCGGTTCATGGAATCCTACCGCCTGGTCTCGCACACCTATGGACATCGTCTGCAGCGCGAACGCAACCGAATGCACTGATCAACAATCGTGACCCCAAATTAAGCAAATAAAACGCATAAAGAAACAATAAATTTGATGTACGCGTAGAAGATAGATATTATCTACAATTGAGAAGCTTCCAAGCAACTATTTCTTCACATTTATATATCTAGAGTATCCTTTTTTATTTCTTCAATGCGTTACAAGCGGCTATATGTTAGAAACAGAACAGGGAAAGAAACGGCGGATTAAGAAAATGTGCCACCTAATCCCATCTGCAATCGCAGTTGCGCCGCATCCTTTGCTATGCGCATGCGTGGCACATCGACTTCATCGTGGTTCTGCTCCCCAACTAGCCTGCGTTCGGTCTATTGCTTCTGTATTAGCCTGGAAATCCTGTAAAAAGGTTTCCCCTGGATAGTTGTCCATACGGGACTCGAAGAAATACCTGAGCACTCCTCTGATCCGCTCTTAAATGTTAGAAAGTCTGTCACAATTGGATAAAGACAAGCAATTGATTTGAAAATGCGCCATCTAATCATGAAAGTTCTGTCAATTATTCCAATAACCTGGTCCGATTAGGGATGTAAGTCGAATCGATGCTGACTTACATCGATGTCTCTTTATAAAAAATCGATGCTTCGCAAAGAAACATCGATGCATCGATGTTTTAAAAAATTAACTTTTCATAGGAAAAAACCTAATATTAGGGAGAAAATCAACAGAGATCTTTGAAATAAAAAATGCTTATATATCATGAGAGACTGTCATAGTATTTTACTTAATGTTGTTAATCAATAAAATTACGAGTGCAATTTTGATTAGCTTGTATGGCTTACATAAAAACAACGACGCGTTGCAGCTAAGTGTAACATTAAATACGAAAAAATGAAGATCAAATGCTCAACAATCTAATATTACAAAATACACATTTTAATGAAAACATCAAATAATTTATAATACCTTCTTCGGCAAACCACACAAAGAAGAGTGAACACCCAGCAAAACATGAATAATGTTCTATGTTTGGACAAACATCGATGGATCGACAATGCAGCGTAAGCAAAACACCAGCGGAAAACATCGATGCATCGTAGAAAAAACATCGTCGCTGCTCGATACATCGATGTTTTCTTACATCCCTAGGTCCGATAACCTGGTCTCGCCATCATAACGTTACTTAGCAACACTGGAACGTGAAAATTTTTTTGCAACGTTGATTGTAAATTGTCTGGGTTTATTTCATTGCAAGATTTATGTACAATTGAAAAGAAAAAATAGAATGGAAAAATCTGCATTCATAGTCAAAGTGCTCGAGAACCAGGAGCCCTGGGAGTTGCAGATGCCGCTGGTGGCGCGCAGGAGCATTCCCAAAAATCCCTGGCAAGCTGTTGCAGACATCGTGGGCTTTGAGGTAACAGAATGCGTAAAATTGATGAGAAAATACGAAAAAGCCTCTTGTAGATGTATTATTCGCGCTTCTTTCAGCCCCTTGAGGTACCTAAATCCATTGTGCAATCGGAACAGTCGGTTAAGATTGAACCGCCGCCAGATAAAACTGGCAACTACATTATCGTGGATGACGTCAGTGAAGTCGCTTCAGCCTTTGAGGTTATGGATGGGAAATTTCAACATAGTTTCTTGCCACAAATAGAGGCCTTGGGCCGGGCAGAAATATCGAAATATCGCATCGAGGAGAACGAGCTGGCCCTGCCAGCGGAAGATGCTTCACTGTTTAAGGAGGATGAACATCCAATGGATAATGAAGACTTCACCTTTTTGGTGGGTCTGTATCCTGACATCAAGGCACTTTCTGGCCTGAGCAGACTAGAATTCCGCTTCGGGGTTTGCCGTCTCTTGCATGAGGTAACGCACCGCCGTACCTCGGGATCGGATTCCACATCCAGTGTCTATTCAGGGGCTGCTCTGTTCGAGGAGGAAACCTAGCCTTCGAACGATTAACAAACAGAATGCAGAACACACACACATACATAAATCACACACGAACCTACAGCAATACAGGCCTGCGGTCTATACAGCAAGAACCCCACATAGATTTCAGAGAAATCACATAAATAGCAGCTAGCCATTTATCCAGTTGACTCTAACCAGTCAATAGGAATTCGGGCTCAACTCTAGCACCTTCTATTAAATACGTACATATATCCTGAACAGTAGCGATCTTGTTGTTGTTCTGGTTTGTGGTTCGGGGAAGAGAACATCAGTTTAATTAATGCCGCCTATGCTGTAAAGATGCCCAGTGGAGCCATCGAGTGGATAGTCTCAATGGCACAGTTGCCGCTTCCGTCTGAGTTCAACTCCCGCACTACCTATAATTGCTCGCAATGGATCAGCAGAGGTGTGGGCGTCTAACGCCGTTGAACACATTTGCTAAATGGTTTCAGTGGCTGTCGCTGTTGGCCAAAGCGAGAGAAGGGCAATGGCATCAGATTCGCCATGTCATTGGCATTTCGCTTTGAATGCATAATTTCATTTTGCATAAATTCTATTTACAATGGCCTTCGCACCCCCACCTACCACTCGCATCGACACTCACGCGCAGTCGGACTTGCCTCATTGAAATATTGACAGCAGGCGAAATATGCTGAGAAGCGAGGGCCACTCGCTAAGTATTTCGATGAATGGAACGAGATATCTTAATATGGTTAAAATTATGACGAGATGAGTACATACATCCAAGTATTTATTCATTCTATTTTCCTCTTCTTACATTGAGAAACTATACGTGTATAAAAATTTTGTATTTTTGTCGCTTTGCATACAATTGGCAAAGGCTCGAATGCGTTTCTTGTTGACACATGAGCTTAAAAATAAAATATTTTTAAATACAAACTGGTTCCTAAAGTGGTTCCTAAGCAAGAATGATATTCAGTTGTATCGTAAGGCAGCTAAATTGTCTAGGATGTTATGGGAAAAGGCAAAAAATGATTAAATGAAACTAATATTATATTTATTGATTTTTTTCAGGCCATAAACATACATTATTGAATCAAACAGTACTAATTATAATACAAGCTATAGTTTTCTTGTGTTGGACAGTTATTGTTTTTTTCTTTTCAATGATGGGAAAGAGTTTATCTTAATACTGAATTTATTAATATCTATAGTATATGTTTTGTGAAGAAAAGATTCTCATACGCCCCGTGTGCACAATTATTAGGACCATTATTTGTATTTGCATATGTATTTGGATTTGGATTTGAATGGCTTTTATTTATTTTTTGTGTGTTACATTTGCGGCCTGGCCAAATATTTAGCTTGTGGTGTTCATTTGTGCATGACTGCCACGCCCCCATGCCCATATGCATGTGCATGTGTTTGTGTCTGTGCTTGTGTGTGTTGGTAGTGGCTGTGGCTGGATGGGCCCATTCATTGATTTCATTGCACTATAATTCATAAATCGCTTAAATGTATCGCATTAATACGCTCTGAGTGCATTAGATGCATAAAATCCAAAAAGTGGGCAAACAAATGCGATAAATAATTTACAAAAATGCGGCTGGCATTGATGATGATGAAGCATGACGCTGATGGCAATCGACCGGAAATCGAACCCGGATCAGTTATTTGGAATACAACTATGCTGGCCATAGCACTATCGGCGCGTTCTCTGACATTAGTGCCAGTTGGCATCCACAAGTAGTAGTCGTTGGGTCTCTTAAGCAGGCACATGGCCCTTGTTCTTCCATAAAAACAATGGCCATGGTGTGCAGAACCAAATTGTATACGTCAAAAAGCAATAAACGAAAACCAAATATATAAATAATAAAATATAATCCGATGAGGTTATTTCTAATATGTTTAAAAATATTAATTTAAGAAACATTTTATCGAGTTCTTTTCAGTTCATTAAGCTTGAATTGACTTTGCAGCTCAGCCACACCTTACGACCATCCGGCGATTTTTGAAATTTGTCGAAATCGATTGTCCTTTTACTGCACTAATACAATAATACACTCGTACTTTGTTGACAAATTTTGAAATACATTCAATTGCAAAACCAGCTTCCAAATGGCAAAATGTTTGGCAGACGCCGACCTTTTCAGGGTCAACTATGAGAGCAGAAATTGCTCTTGAAGAGTAAGTTGTTTGTTTCTTGTTTCTTGCAACATCATTTTGTTTTTCCATTCAATATTTATGCATTACTTATCCAGCTGCATACCGCTGTTAAAGGGTGATGATAGATTTTTCAACTAAAATGAATTGGGGGCGATGATCCCAGAGTTAAAAATGTTGCTTGTGGAAATTTTAAGCCAGCGGCATGTGCTAACGTGTGGGTGGTGCGATGTGGTGTTGTGTTGTGAGTGGCTCTGTGTGTGTTTGTCTGGCAGGCGGGTACATCAACAGCTTTGATTGCTGGCCAAAGCCTAGACAGCTTAACAACTCAACAGTGGGTCCCGTACCCACAGGAGAGAGTAGGGAGACGGGCCTATAAATTAACAAAACGCGTACGGACCGTTGCATACTTTTTGGCAAATGAACAGCAGCAGGACGAGTAGAGTAGAGTTGAGTAGAGTAGAGTAGAGTAGAGAGAGGCAAAGGTAACAAATGGCTGACACACAAACAACAGCAGCAGCAGCAGCAGCAACAACAACAACAAACACTAGGGGCATACATGAAATGCACACAAGCAATTTGCATAGCATTTGAAGTGTGCACTGAGGCTAAAGATACTTTGCAGCCGGGAAATGGAAGATGTGCGAGCTGGCAAGTGAGAGGAGCAGGCGGCAGTGAGGTGCGAGAAGGGAGGAGACTTGCAGCCGGACCCTGCCACGTGCGCTTTGCGGTTGAATTAAGTCAAACAAAAGCAGCTGGCTAAGCTGTGGCCCCGACAAATTCTTAGATTACGCCACTGCAGACCCTGCGCACCTTGCCACATGCCACATGCACTACATACATATGTACGCACATACATAAATACATACTATACAAGTACATATGCAATAGAAAAGCTGACAGTCAGAGGTGGCGGCTGCAGCTCGAGTCTGGCACTCTGTGAAGCTGATGTTGCTGTTGGTGTTGGTGTTGCCGGTGCCGTTGAGTGAGTGCCGCTGTCATGAATGAGTGCCGTTGCCGGCCAAATAAAAGGCAAGCCGGCTATGAAAAGTGCAACAGAAAATGCACACAGCACGGCCAGGTCGTATAGGTGCTGCTAAGCACGAGGAACTGCACAAAAAGGCAAATGTAAATGGGCTTTTCAAAATGAATATTAAATTGCAACTAAGGCGAGTGGATGAGGGGCGGTGCGGTGCGGTGCGGCGACTGCGAGACGCTCTGATGGCCAGACAAGCAGGTGAGCAGCAATAGACAAGTGCGTCTCTGTCTGCCAGTCTTAGTGTTCTTAGTGCGTGTTTCTGTTTGTGTTTTGTGGTCGTTTCTAACAGCACAACAAAAACCAAAAATAGAAAGAAAACATGCGTATGTGTCATCCAGAATGGGATCAGATCCAGACAGAAACCCAAACACAAAACAGGAGCGACAATGTTTTTAAATTTTATAAACTTAAAAGCCTTAAAGGCACAACGTGGCAGCATGTCCTAGAATGATCGAACTGTGGTGTGAAGTAAATTATAATACAAACAGACTCCTCTACATATTACCTGCAAGGAGTTGAACTCAAGAGTAGTTCAATTTTTTGGCCATCGTTGTGGAAATGTGAAGATGTCTAACAAAATCAGTTTTTTGATCTTAAATAACTAAAGGTTTCCGAGGAAAACACAAAACGGGGCGTTGATTGGTAAACGCTTTAAATATCACAGGGAGTAGTAAACATTTTCATTTCATTTGCCCATCTGCCTGAGCGCAAGGATCTCAGAAAGTAACACTCACTCTTGTCTCCAGATGTGCTCCGTTCTTATACATGTATGTACACACTATACAAGTATATCCCAAATCGACTGCCTAAGGTAACCCACTTCTATCGCACTTTCTAATTGCGAGTGGGTGCCTCTGTCTATGGAATTACTTTACTTTATAGGGCCTCATAAATGGTCAGTCGTCTAGCGCCTGTGCGACTGTTTGTGGGCCCGGCGATAAGATAATTACATGGTCGTTAGTCGTACAGGCAAAAAGTTTACGCCAAGTCCATAGCTCGCAACATTCAGGAAACGTACATACTATACATGCTTGTACATGTGCGGGGAGAGCGGAGGAAAGTTGAAATAATTTTTGTTAAGAAATGCAGCGCAGCAGGCATTTGAGCCATTTTGGCTGCCGGTCGTGCCGCCTCATATGTATGACAAGGCATATGCATTGTTTTCAAAATGATTTGCGGTTCTAATTTTTCGCACACACACACATACACACACACACATGTATACATATACATATATGTATATATATACATATAGAGGGACGCAGGCACATGAAGTACAAAGTTATGCATTGTTGCCATACTTTGTCGTCGACGTAGTTCTAGCTCTCCTCGTCTTACTTATTTTTGTGGCCTCTGCTGCTGTCGGCAATGAGGAGTAGGCCCCCCAAAAACTATGCTGCAAGTAAAATGCCGCAACCGCATACGCTGCTTGTTGCCTGCTCATTTCTTCGTGTGGCATAAACCAAGACGCCGGGTTTCAAAAACAAAACGAAGCAAAGCGATGCACAACCAAACAAAACAAAACGAAACAAAACAAAACGTAACACAACAAAGCCGTGCAAAGCAAATGGGCGCGTTGCTCAACAATCTCAACTGTTTGAAAATTTATTTGTGTTCTCCTCTGGCTTGATGGCCCTCCTGCCGTCCCTCCGTCCTTCGGTCCCACCGTCGCTCACTCGGCTTGTCTACCACAAGTATTTGAGTTGCATCTGCTTCGATGGCGGCAAGTGGTGGGTGGTGCTAGGCGGTGGTAGGCGGTGGTTGGTGGCAATGTCAGTGGCAACAATTCGTGTTCATGCCTTCGTACAATTTGGTTTTTATGGTTGTTGCTCAACAAATGCCACAAAATTCACACACACACACACAACAACACACCAACACTCACAGACACACACACGCACACACACACTCAGCTCATTGGTAACAAATGTCGCCAAAGACAGCGACAAAAGTTGCACGGCAGCGGCAAATAACTAAATTTTTAATTGAAACTCACATGCAAAGTTGTCAGAGAGCGTCTGACATGTGCATTGTGTCT